CTCTGTCTGGCAGCAGCGGGGGGCGATGAGGCACGGAGCAGGGGCAGGAGGCTGCCTACCTGCCCCTTCTGCCCTGCCCCAGGCCCTCCTGCTCCCCCTCTCCCAGCCTGCTGCAATTTGCTGTACACCCTCTGCAGGTTAGCGTGCCTGGGCAACGTGTGCTCTGAAGGCTGCGTAAATATACTCCCTGCAAATTTTATCTTCACCTTTACAAAGCCCAACTCAAGGTTAAGCCCTCAGGGGAGCTGGTCCAGCCTCCTCCTTGCACCCTGGGCTTCCTAAAAACGGTCACCAGTCTTGCAGGCGCTTTGGCACCGCGTGAGTTAACCGCAGCATCGCTGCCGCGTGCTCTCATCCTAATTTTAGAGGATTGAGCATCTTAATGAGGCAAAAAATGAAAGGAGCTGCTGTTTGCTGGTCCCATTTGCATAGCTGATGGCAGGATAAATGTTCCTGCTCTGCAGCTGGAGCTGGCCCTGGGTGCTGGGCTGTCCGCCCCAGTACATTAGTGGTTGATTATGCTGCAACAGGGGGTGTGAATCTAGGAGAGCGGCGAGGGCTGCAGGAATCCCCAATTCCTGATTCTCAAGTCCGGGCTGAGGAAGTCACCCTGCTCTCCTAGACCACAAAAAATCCATGGAGACAGGAAAAAACTGGTGTGGAGCAGAGAGAGAGCAGCCCAGGCTGCTGCAGCGGGCTCCTTGCCACCCCTGCTGCAGGCAAGTGAGCCTGGCTGGAGCGGGGGCTTTCAGTGCCTGTCACCCACCTGATCTGCCTTGTCTGTCGGGGCGATGAAGACTATGAACGGGGAGAGCTCAGCCGTGCGGACGATCTTCAGGGTCTGTGGAGAGAGGGGTGTAGTTACCATTTCTTTGGAACACAAATATCACCCCTGCACTCTGTGTATTAATTTGGGAAGGGTGGGTGGGCAGCGTGCTCGGGAAGGCAGGGACAGTGACAGCCAGCACACGGGTAGTTCAGTCCATGACAGCCCCCACCTCCTTCCCCCTGCTCCCTACCTGGGGTTCAATGTCCAAAATAGCGACTTTATCCTGCTGGTGGATCTTGTGTACTGTTTCAAACTTGGTTCCAAACATGTTTCCCTGGTAGCTTCCAAACTCCAGGAACTCATTGGCTGAGATGTCCCGGGTCATCTCCTCAGTGGAGACAAAGTAGTAGTCCTTCCCGTCCACCTCGTTCTTCTTCTGGGGCCGTGTGGTGTCTGGAGAAGGAGGGAGATGGTGAATGCTGACCCCAGAAGGACTGGGGAACAGAGGGGAGCACACAGAGCCTCTGCTCTGTGCGACCTGGCCATCTTGCCTTCCCTTTTTCAGCAAGCAGCTAGGGCATGGAGGACCTGTGTACCTCAAGACTAGGCCCTACTAATCCATTTTCAACTCCTTCCTACTTGGGACAAGTGGGGAACTCAGTGAGCCCACGGGACAGCAGGCAGGAAGAACCTACAGCGCCCTGTGTGGCGGCCTCTGACATCAGGGCCTTGGTGGTGCTGGAGGAACATGTCCCTGCCTCCTAACTGCTGGCACAAGGTCCTGGCTCAAGGAGGTTGAGCAGAAACGCATCCCGTGCTGTGGCCTCCACCCTGGCTGGGTACTTACACGGCGGTGGATACATGAACTTCTCCGGGTTGTTGCTGAGCAGAGCGTTCTTGATGTGGCTACGACCAACGCCGCTGGCCCCTGCAGGGATAGATGCTGGAATCAAACTCAGAAAAGCTCATTGGGAGGCGCTTGGGCCCCTCAGCATTGCAGTGCCGGTGCCAGACCATACACAATGC